TTCATTAAGATCAAATTAATAGAAATGATTTGATAAAGCAATGTCTTAGTTAATTATATTTAATATCTATTTTGATTGACACTTTTTTTTCTTCATTTTCTTTTTCCTTACTTTAAATTTTCAATCAATCCCCAAGAAGACATGACAACAACAACAACAACAGCAATAAAAATAGATGCACAGAAAAGAAGAGAATAAAATAACAACACTGTATTTAAATGACAGCAATAAAAACAAATAAATAAAAATGATTAGCATATTATTTTGTTATTTTTATTCTACATTTCTTTCATTTTAGCCATTAAATCTTCAAGTGATATATCGTCATCTCGTGTTGTACTTGCAGCCGATGTTTCATTATCCGATGTATCGACTTGTGGATCACCTTTTATTTTCGGAACATATTGATATTTAACTTGATCAAGTGAAACAGTTCCATTCGACGATGAAGCTAATTGAATACGATTTCGATCAATTGTATTTTCATTTGGAACATCAACACTATCACTAACAAGTTCAATACCTAAATAAAACAATCCCTGTTGGTATTATAAAAGAGGAAATTATTCAATATATGTTTCAGTTTATGAATTCCTACCAATAATTTATACTAGCAGGGATATTAGAATTTTTGGGCCAGATGACTGAGCTTCGACCTTATTTACTTCCTGTGGCGCTGTCACTAATATGCATACACTATTAGATAAAAAAATTCTTTCTCCATATATTTCTCTTTGTAATCGAAAAACTTCTAGTCATGTTTCTATCCCTATACTCTCGTTTTAGATTGTGTTTCATAAAATTCATTTCGTATTTATAATTATCTATCTTACCCCATTCGTTTGAATCATGTACTACTTCAGTAGTTGTTTGTTGAAGATTTTCTTCAATAACAATAGGATTTAATTGTTGTTCTAATTGTCTTTTACGACAATATGAATCATCACAATCTTCATTAGGTTTTAATGTTAATATCTAAATTTGTTTTAATCTTAGAAAAAAAAGTTAAGAAAAATTTGAAACAAACGTTTTTACAAGAAAATAATCATCAAGTGCATTATAACCAATATAATTTGATACACGACCAAATTTAAGTAAATACCTAAATAAAAACAATTAGAAATTTTTCAAAATATTTTATTAAATACAAACTTAAGTGTATTTTGTACAAGAAAACCAGCAACAATACCCATCGTTGTCGGCAGACTTGCAGCACAAACACCTTCACGTTTTAATGTACTTTCATCTATATTACTAGCAAGGATTAATGGTGGAGCACACTAAAATTAATTTCATATGATATCTTTTCTTTTTTTTTCTTCATTTCATTAAAAACATCAATTTCTTATGTATATACATACAGCAAAACAAGCAGTTTTTCCTGGAACAATCAATTGTATATGACCACTGACAGCATTTTCGCTGACACCTGATTCCATCCATGTTTGATCAAGTTCATTACATGCCTTGAAATGAAATCAACATATATATTATGATTGTTTTTTTTTTATTTGACAATACTCACTGTATTAATTGTCATTCTTGCACCAAAATTGTCAACACAACTAAGTACAAGATCAACAGGACCCGAATTATTTTTATTACCAGTTCTAAAGATATTTTGATGTATCTATTTGAGTTCAATTGTATTTTTATTTTACCGAATTTTTTCCATAAATAATGGAAAATTTTCTACTTTAGTTATATTCATGTTATAGGATTCAATAATTACATCAGGATTAATAAATCTAAATTAAATTTATACATATCTTATATGAATAAATACATGTTTATACCTTAATGTATCAGCAGCAGCTTCAACTTTACTAAGACCAGCTTGATGAGGTTGATAAAATAAACGATTCATATTGGCTAATTCAACTTTATCATAATCATATAGTAATAACTAAAAAATAAAACAAAAAACAACAATATTAGACAAAAATTTTGAAAAACGCGTTTAAACGCACAATCGGGAACCGCGACTGTGATCCATTAACGCTCATTAAAGAGACGCACGAAAACGCGTTTATTGGCGTTTTTTGTAACTTTGTGCGCGTTAAAACGGCGAAAACTTCAATAATTGAGCGTTAAAACGCACAATTATTGTAGAACTTAAAAACCATACGTTTTAACGCTCAAAAATTGGAGTTTTCACCGTTTTAACGCCCAGAAAGTTGCAAAAAACGCCAATAAACGCGTTTTCGTGCGTTTTTTTAATGAGCATTAATGGATCACAGTCGCNCCCCACCCCCACCCACACCCACACCCACCCACACCCACACCCCACACCCACACCCACACCCACACCCACACCCACACCCACACCCTCTTGGTGAAATCAATGAGAAGATCGGAGAGATTATCGATAAAGATATTCAACGTCAAGCCATGTTTGACTTCGAAAATGTATCAGAACGTATTATTGAATGATCACGTCACAACCTGCGTGGGTGGGTGGGGTGGGTGTGGGTGTGAGTAAAGAGAGGAATGACACACATACCCGCATCCAACCCACACTCACACCCACACCCACTCCCCACCCATACCCATCAAAAAAATCAAACAACAGATAGTGGTCGTGATAAATGAACAACATCAGGTTATGGTTATGGTCAAGTGAAGAACGAAGAAAGAAATTCATTTATAAATAAATTAACCACAAACGGAAAAACGACAACATTAACAACAACGAGAATTTCAACAACAACGAGTATTTCAACAACAACAATAGCTCAAACTTCTTTGATAATGTCCGAATAAATAGGACGAAATATTAGATGGACAAACGGAATACAATTAGACATATACTTATGTTATAAAAAACAAAAATAAAAAATAAAAGAAAGAATTATTATTCTTAATTTTATAATTTTATATCTTGCTGCATTTATTAGATTTATTAGTTAAATCATTGATTAGAAAAATAGAAATAATCTAAAATTAAGAAAAACAAAATAAAAAAATAATGAGCGAATAGCAACAAGCAAATAAAAAAACAGAGCGCCAGTAGAAACAATTAAAGAAAAAATTTCTGTTTAAAATGCAAATATAAATAAGACAGATGGTTTCTCTCACGGTCGATTACTTTTAGAAAATTAACTATCGTTTGTTACATATTATTCATTTTTCGTATTTTGTGTTAGTATAATGAAGCTTAAGATATGTGAGTTCCACATTTCAGCCCCAAAGGGACTGCGCTAAGAAGCTTTTTTGTGGAACTCACATATATTTTCGAAGAAAATAGTGAGTGTAAGTTTTAAATCGAAGTTTCGCGGCTTCTCCCCCCCCCCCCCCCCCCCCCCCCCGCCCCCCCCCCCCCCTCACAGCCCACCACGACACCGGCCCCA